CGGGAGCTGCTGTTCCATGGGGCAGAGTTTCACCCCCATGAGATGAGTAAGTTCCAGAGACCCGCTGGACATCACTGAGCCTGTAGTTAACCGTACTGAACTGTGCACTCAACCGTGGACGAGGGGAGATCTCAGGTCTAGTGTCCTCGCCACAGTGAAAAAGGAAAAGGAGAGCAGGGGTTCTCTGCAGCAGAGCTGGCCGCCGCATGAATGTGACAGGCGTCCTTCAGAGGCAGCCCTTGGAAACCGTGATGTCCCCTCCCTCCAGGACAGTCACGACCAGCCCCGGTTTGTCTCTCCCAAATCGGTTATACCAGGAGGCTAGTGAAGGGCTAGTGTATCCCAGGATAGCGGAGACGGAATGAGATCCAGGTGGGTTAATAGGATGGTTCAGAAACTAGCTTCTCTGGGTGAGCGCAGGCAGAGTGACTCCATCAGGGAGCATCCACGGTGGCCGCAGGGGGACAGTGGGTCCGCTTGTGCTGGGAGGGCTGGGGGACGCCCACGGAGACTAAGGGAAACCACTGCGCGGGCCGCACACGTAGCTACGGGCCCCTCCGCTGCCGAGTGAGTGAAGACATACGGACAGATTTCAGGAAAACTACCCTTCGGCTCTGAGCCAAATGCTCTCTGAACCTGCGTGTCAGGGGCACTAAACAGCGTGGAAAACGCGTTCCTCGCCGAGCCCTGAAATGCGGCAGCCGGGGAAGGTGCAAACCCAAGGCCTTGTGGGCTGTCTGCAAGAGATGAGAGCGTTGCTCCCGGGAAACTCAGCAGGGGGGCGGCGAACAGCCCCGCGCTCACCCACTGCCTGCCACCCCCCCCCACCGTGACACACTGCCCACGCGATCCAAAGTGTGCCTCCCAGAGGAGCGCTGCCCTCTGCAAGCTTCTAGAAGTCGGCCTGCCCTCTCCAATGGGCTTGGTCCCCAGTCTCAGCCCCTCCCCTGAAAGCGCTTCTTTGACTTAAGTGTCTGATTTTTTCTTTTTTAAGAAAATAATTCTTTTTTTTTCTTTTTTAAAAAAATATGTTTTTATTGATTTTCAGAGAGAGAGGGGTAGAGAGATAAAAACATGGATGAGAGAGAAGCACCACCCATGGGCCGCCTCCTGCACCCCCGTCCTGGGGACTGAGCTCACAACCCGGGCTTGCGCCCTGCCTGGGAGTCGAAGCAGAGACCTCCTGGTGCGTGAGATGACACTCAGCCACGAGCCCCACCAGCAGGGCTGTCTGGTTTCTCACGGAGGCGGAGTCATCTCTTCCATCCCAAAGCCAGTTTCTGTAAGCTCCTCTGTCTGCGCATCACCAGAATCCGGTGCTGACGTAACGGTGCTGTCTAATCTCTTCCTGTGCAGCCAGGCCTGGCGTCATCCCGGGGCTAAAACAGTGCCTCATTCTCAAAGGCGTTTGCAAGGCTACGAGCTGCACCAGCACAGACGACACCATCGGTGTGTGCAGCGACGACAAAAAATGTTGTCGAAAGTGGTGGATATTGTATCCCTACCCAACACCAGCTCCCAAGGCAAAGTCTCCCTAGACTGGGCCTCCGGGACACGCGGGGGCTTTTCGCAGATTCCTGAGGGACCCAGCTTGCTTTCCCTGCCTTGATGGGAAATAAATGTCCTGCCTCCACGTGTACTGACCCCTGAGGGATTTCTTCTGGGTGCATGTGCAGAGCCTCTTATGCACAACAAGACCCAACGAAATAATAGAGGAACCTCATACCCTAAGGATTTTTGTTCAAGATGTGACTTTTCTATTTGAAAAAAAGATGAAGGTTAACATTTTAAATATGTAAAATAAAGCAGGTGTGAAATGACAGTGAGTAGTGTTTTATGATCTGATGTAGAACAGCAATGTTCCCCCTCTTCGGATTCCGAACATATGTCGTTTCCTTGCTGCTCGGGGATGTGGGTTAAGGTCAGTCAGTCGCGCGGTCTTGCTAACGGCAAACCCGAGTGAGGACAAGCCCGCCCAGCCGCACCCCATCGGCCTGAGGCCGGTGGCCCCCTCCTGGCCTTGGGGGAGCAGAGCAGAGCGGCCCAGCGGCGGGGCCCACCGGGGATGCTGGAGGGCGAGGCGCCGGGAGCCCCACAGCCCTGGCGGTTCTTTCCCAGTCACCCCCGCACAGCTCTGCCTTCCGGCCAGAGGAATTTCCAAGCCAGTGATAATTCCGGATCATGTCTCCTTTATGGCTAAGAAAATAAAAAGGCAGGAGAGAGGTCAGGGGTGTTACCTGACAGGAGTCCCACAGAGGTGGAAAGACCCTTCTGGAGACCACAGTGAAAGCCCAAGGGTTTTTGTCTTCTTAGTCTAAAGGCCATGGTCAAACGGAGGAAGATGGGCTCTCCCACCTCCTAATAGTCTTCAGAATCCGCGTTCCTATTATTAATGTGGGCAGCAGTTGTCCACAAGACCATCCGTTTCTTGAGTACAAGAGCCACCTTCACCCACACCTGTGTCCAGGGTACCACACAGTCTCCTAACACTGCTGCTGACAATCACAGGCTCTGGAGTCAGTCATCTCTCTAAGTTAAAACTGTCATTCTTTTTTTTAACTTTAAAAAAAATGTTCTGAGAGAGAGAGAGGAGGGGAGAGGGAGAGAGAGAGAGGAATATCAATGAGAGAGAAACAGTGACCGGCTGCTTCCTGCACATGCCCTACGGGGGACCAAGCCCATAACCCAGGCATGGGGCCTGACGGGGAATCCCATGGGTGACCTCTTGGTGCCTGGGACCTCGCTTAACCCACTGAGCCTCACTGGCTGGGCAAAGCTGTCATTGTTTTGACTTTGAACTATTAACCTTCGTTTGCCTGAAAAGTTTCCTTCCAAGAAAGGAGTAGAATAAATGAACCTTCAAGCTAGAGAGGTCCGTTCCACTTTCCCCAAGTCGTTCCGTGACTGTTCATTTTGAATTAGGGTTGCCAGAGAAAAGACAGGCTGCCCAGTTACATATAAAGTTCAGATAAACAATGAATATTTTTAGTATATAAATGTATAATATTTGGCACATACTTATATTACAAATTATTTGTTACATCTGAAACCAAATTTAACTGAGTGCCCTGTCTTTTTATTTGCTAAAGCCAGCACCCCTCCTTCGAATCCGCACATGGGGGAAATTCCAGGCACTCCCTCCGCTCAGCAGAATACCTCCTGCCCGCTGGGCCGAAACCCACCTATAGCCACCCCTCTCCCCTCTATTCTGGCTCTAATTTGTCACGCACTGCCCATTTTCCTCTGCGATGAGAGGGCTGCCTGGTTCCCGATGCTAGTCATGAATTGCAAACACAGGCCCGTGGATGTCTGCAGAACGTGACAGTCCCATAATCACCACAAACCTGCTATGTGCCGTCCTCCGTGGATTTCACCCCCTTTCATCTCTCCTCTGCCAGATACCATGGTAACTGCACAAGCTCTCCTCAGAGAGCGACACTCAGGCTCTGACCCTGGGCATCCACCTGCTCCCTCGGCTTCTTTTAAATAATCTCATTTCCACAGCAGCTGTTGATCCCCTGCGCCCAGCTGCTGAGTGGATTGTGCAGTAATGCCATTAAAACAGAGCGAATTTGCACACATTCTGCACAGCATTTTTGTGTGTGTGTGTGTTTTTTAAAATCCTCACCCAAAGATATTTTTCCATTGATTTTTAGAGAGACTGGAAGTGGGGGGATGTGGGGAGAGAGAGAGAAACATCGACGTGAGAGACACATCAATGGGTTGCCTCCCATACATGAGGGATTGAACCTGCAGCCCAGCTACGTTCCCTTGGCCAGGAATCAGTGCTCGGGCTGACGCTCTAACTACTGAGTCAACCTGGCCCGGGCCTCCCACAGCATTTTTGTCTGGCTGTTAATGTGCATGTGTCAAAATCAAGACTCATGCACACTGCAGATCTAATCATATACTACAACTGCGTATTAAATATCTCCTTTTGGACATCCAAACACAATGCAAACTTTATTGACCCAAACTAAGCTAATCTCATTCTCCAAAATCAGGTTTCTTTCATGCTGCTGAATGACACCATCCCCGGACAATGTCCCCAGACATTGGAGACAGAAGTCTGCCCTTCCTCTGGCCCCCTTCCCTGTCTGCCTCGCCCCACGACAGGTGGTCACCAAATGCTGTTGACCTCCATACTCTCTCTGGATTCTTTAATGCCCACTTCTGCTGGCACTGCCTTGTTTTCTCTCTCATCTGGGCCATGAAAACAGCTGGCAAAGCCCTGCCTACCCACAGACTTGACCAACGCCTTCCTCAGAAAGGTGTGCACCTAGAGACAGACCCAGCACCGGGATCTCCTCTGGATGGGGATAGGGGGAGAGTGACTCCTAGCTGGTCACCGATAATCATGACAGCCCGGCTCCCTGGGCCCCTGGCGGTGTAGGCCGGGAGCTGTCACACTGTCTGGCCAGTGAGCCCTTTGGGGAAGTATGGTTGGGACTTCTAGTGATGGTTTCTTTCAACGACCAAAGGACACGTATACTAAGACACATTTGATCATGTCACTTCCTGTTGAACTATTGAAAACTTGATTCTCTCATACACTGCTGGTAGAAATAGAAATTGCTTCCATTTTTCGAAAAGGTAATTAAAGAAAACAACTAAAAGAATACTACTACTAATTTATATCATAGACACTATAATACGTAGCGCCAAATTTAATCCCTTAACCATATATCAGGCACTCTGAAACGTGTCTGACCTTCATCGTCTCATTTGACCCCTAAAACCACCTTATGAACTAGATACCGTTTTCCTGAGAAATGAGGAGTGTGCCTTCAGGTAGTTAAATGCCTTTCTCTGTTTCACATAAGCAGTGTGCTAGAAGAGGTTTTGAAATTCATAATAAAGGAATTATCCTTAAAAATGATAAAAAGAGACATAAAGGTATATGCACAACGATATCTACCAATTGTTTGTTATGATGTGAAATTTTGAGAGTGATAAAATTAACCTAACAGGCCCAACCGGCGTGGCTCAGGGGTTGAGCATCCACCTATGAGCCAGGAGGTCACGGTTAGATCCCCCGTCAGGGCACAGGCCTGGGTTCTGGGCTCGATCCCCAGTAGGGGGCGGCAGGAGGCAGCCGATCCATGACTCTCATCATTGATTTCCTCTCTCTCCCAGCAGCATGGAGGAGTGAAGTCAGGCAGCACGTGAATGGAGGGCTGGTGAGAGGCACTGAAGCAAAGACACCCGAGCACATTTATGCTCAGGGAGAGGCTACCTGGCAGGTATGTATTTATTTTTTTACCTGCCCTCTCCTCCACGCAGCCTTGCCCCTGAAGGAAGCTGCCATGACTGGGCCTCAGGAGGGTGGGAGGTAGAGATGGGCCCACCAAGGGATCCTGGTGAACTTTGCAAGCCTGGTCCCCTGCCGCCTGTATCCCTGGCACACCCTCCTGGGCACGCTGCCCTCTAGTCCCCTCCACCTGTGGTCCCCACCACTGTGGGCAGGCTGAGGGCACTGCCCTCTCTCACCTGGGCTGGCTTGGGCGTTGGAAGGCCGATGGTGAGGAAGGAAGCTGCCCCCCTGGAGCTCGGCCTGACCCTGGAGAAATGTCCCTGCCTGGCATCCTCTAGGGGACAGCCAGGTGGCCTCGGCAGCACAGCCTCAGAGGGCGGATGGCCTGGAGCTTTGGGTGGTGAGGAGCTGGCAGCTGACCTTGGGCTGACCTTGGGCAGGGCTGGTGAGGCTGGACCAGACCCCAGACTGTGGAGCTGCCCTGCCTCCCACACAGATGGGCACCACCGAGGGCAGGGCTGAGCTCCTGGTCTGAGCCAAATCCCTCTGAGGCCCGGGAAGCGGCCTGGTCCTGCAGACCTGGAGGCACCCACAGACCCAAGCTCCCTCCTGGGCCCACAGCCTGGAGGCGCCTGTGCAGCAGGCGCCCCCGCTCGGCTGTTCTGGGCGCTGCATCTCCAGCACCTGGCATCCTGGGACCCTCCAGACAGAACCCACACCCTGTCCCATACCCCTTCGCCCTGCCATCCAGTGTTAACTGTGGCAACTACAAGGGCATCACTTGTAGGAAAAACAACAGCAAACATTTGTTCTTTTAGTTCTGGGGCTAGGAGTCCAAGATCAAGGTGCAGGTGAGCCTCTTCCCGGTGTGTCGATGGCCCTCTTTCTGTCATGGTGCCCTCACATGGCAGCGAGGGAGCTACTAGCTTCATGCCCCTTCTTGTAGGGGCACGACTCCCGTTCCTGAGGCTCCCCTTCCCGGCTAGTCGCCTCCAGGAGCCCCGCCTCTGAGCGCGTGGCGCCAGGGACCAGAGTTCCATATGAGAATGGGGGGCCACGTTCAGTCCCTGAAGCCAGCGGAGAAAGGCTACCGCCACCCGCCCGTGTCTAGGCGCTGCGAGGAGGGCGGCGCTGGGCGTGGTGCGTGGCGGGGGGTGCGGAAAGCGGTGCCGAGGGGGGCAGAAGGGCCAATCTCGGGCCTGGGAGGCCGGGCTGCAGGCGGGGAGACTGTCGGCGACGTCTGGGGTGCAGAGGTCAGCGTGTGCCTGGAGGCAGGTGTCAAGACGTAATGAGACCTTTAAGCTGGCATTTCAAGACCTCCTGTGGTCAGGAAGTTCCAGAAAGAAAGGGGTGGGTCGGTCCTGCACGCTGAGCTCCCCCAGGCATATCTCCGGGCCGCGCCGCGGAGCAGGGGAGGGCTGGACGCTGGACTCGGTGTGGGGGGCACGCGCAGCACCATTCCCTTCGCCTCCCCGAAACCCGGCCGCGGCCTCCGCCACTCCAGAGGACTGCTCTGGAAACCAGGTCCCTTTCTTCCAGCCTGAGCTCTACCGAACCCTTTGGACCTTCTCTGCACCCCATATAGGAGTACAAATGATACGGATCAAAAATGAAGAGCCGCTTACGGAGCTATGCTTCTGCACAGACGTGGCCACGAGCTGGCCGGCAGAACGAAGACCAAACTCATTGCCTGCAAGTGATTACTTAGTGACGGAGCCTGCGGCCTTATTAATTTTTAGGAGATCTATTCGTGCCTGGCAGAGTTTTGATAAGGAAATAAACTATTTACCAACGAACACACCTGCTTATCTGATGGGTTCAAGGAGCCAGTCTTTTATTCCATAAGCATGTATTTTTATCTTAACACCAATTAGGACTATCAGCCTGATAGAAATGCTGCATCTAAATAGGAAACGCCGTAGCTCTCAGAGATGTCACCAGGAGCGAAACTCAGCTCTTGGCTCCAGCGGGGGGTTGGCTGTGCATTTAGAAGAGCGAGGTAGATAAGACTGAATAAAGCACTGGCTTCTTTGGACTAAAACCATCAAATCTTCCAGGGAATATTCACTGGTGTCCCATTGAGCTAAACTGCCCCTGCCACGGCCATGAGTAAACACACTCAGCATTTTTGTCTCGTTTTTGGTCACAGGCCAAAACCAGAGAAGCTCCAGTCGTAAAAAATGAAATTAATTTTGTGAGGATTTAATCTATCATTTGACAGTTGAAGTGGCTACTTTCTGATGTGAAACCTACTACGTATTTTAAATGGAGAGAGGGCAGAAACTACAACAGGTTTCCTTAATTAATTTTGAAGAGAAAAATCTTTGTTAATTTCTACAATTCAACGTGCCTTTACTATTAGTTTTGAAACCAGACTAAGCGAGTGCTGTAAAAGATGTGTTTTGTGCTGGCCAATGTGTTGTAGATTGGGGAGCAGGGCTGATCACAAAATGTTCCTTTCATTCAGCTTTTTGTTCTGTATAAATATCAGCAGTTTAACATAAAGCCACTTACTGGGGTGATTTAAAGGCCCTGCCAAGGCCATGAAAACGAGATGGGTGTCGGGGTGCAGAGGTGTGCCCTGCGCTTGGAGGCCTGCGGCGGGGAACGCCGAGGGTGCCCCGTGGCTCTGCGTAGCAGCACCGACAGTTCCCGGGAAAGGGCTCGGGCTGCGTTTTAACTTCTCTGCGACAGACTCTCCATTGAGCTATTTCCCCGTCCACAGAAAGCGCGAGGGAGAAAGTTCAGGCCACTCACAATAGTCGGAGCGCAGGAAGGAAGAGCAGCGACGCATCTGATGCAACTACTTTTCCAATCGCAAGTCCTAGGCGGCCTGAGGCCGGGAGATGAGTCCAAGCACCGCAGGACATGTGTGTGCGGATCTGACGCGGGTCGCNGGACATGTGCGTGCGGATCTGACGCGGGTCGCCGGTGGCCCGAGAAGGGCCTGCCTCAAACGCTCACCTCCTCAAACCCCACCAAGGGCTTCCTCCCTTGTTTTTAGAGTATTTCTTCCCCTGATCACGGGGGAAAACAAAGACATTTGATGACTTCTGTTCTGGATCTGCCCCACGGTAAATTTAGCCCTGCCCACGTTTCCTGGGGATATTTTTGGATACCTCCACTCTGGCAGAACTAGGATTTCCCTGAGGGCCGGAAGGGTCTCTCGCCCGTCCTGTGTGCAGGGTAAAATCAGTAAGTTGGTGGGTGAATTAACGTGTGGATCAATAAATTCATTGTAAGGAAATAAGTTTAAGAGCAAGTCGGGGCTCGTCAGCCAGCCCGCGAGTTTTGAAGGGGGCTTGCTGGTTGGAATACGCATCCTTACACTTCCTTGGAGACGGGTATTAGGAATCTTCAAATAACTACTAAGGAGTTACCGTTTGCCTTTTCCCTTGTGTCACTTTCTCCCAACACCTACCTGTGGAGAAAGAAGAGCCCCAGAGAGAGGGAGTTTCTACCTTCGTCCCAACTATGAAAGACACAACCCACGGAGGCCCCCGCAGCCCACAGCCTGCGCCGGGCAGTGGGATGGGATACAAAGTCCGCATGCGTGCAGGTGGCGGTCTGGGGAGAAACGGCAGAGACGGGCCTGGGGAACTCTGATGATCACGAAGGTCCCTATGACCAGCGGTGCAATGGTTTCCTGCTGCGAACTCGCTGCAGTGCAGGGGTGTTCACCCTTAAGTTCACTGAGTGAGATCGTTCTTTCAAATCCCAGTTCTGAACAAGCTCCTGAGAGACTTTCCCTGAGAGACTGTAGCTACAGACAGAGGCTGTAAAATCTATTCATTTAGCAAATACCGATTCAGCCCAAAACTCTTTGGGGCACTGTGCTGGGGTCCTGGAGGGGATACAAAGATGTGTTCAAAACAGTGTCCATCCCGAGCTTAAAATAAACCATCTAAATTATAACTGTTATAGTCTTAATAATGTTCCTAATTTGTTAGTACTCGAAACTCACACAGCACAATAAGGCAGAGGGCTTCAAATCATCTTTCAGCAATTTCTCATTAGTACATTTAAACATGCAGAGAAATCAGATCTCACCCGCTGACTTCTGTAGACAAAGTGATTGGAATCCTTAGAAGAAACGGCTCACTCTAGGCCGCGGAGTGACCTGAGGTCACTGGGGTGCGGCTGATGGTCTGTTCTAACTCCTATAAAATCTGAATCAAAAACAATTTGTGAAGCAATTCAGAGAACAGAAAATGTGAATTCTTTCCCTGGCTGGGTAGCTCCGTTGGTGAGAGCCTCATCCCGATACACCAAGGTTGCAGGTTTGATTCCCGGTCAGGCCACAAACAAGAATCAACCAATTAATTCCATGACCAAGCAGAACAGCAAACCAATGTTTCTCTCTCTCTCTCCCCTCCCTCTTTCTCTCTCAAATAAATAAATAAAAATTTTAAAATGTCAACACTTGAGTATGTCTACGTTCAGTACCACTGTTACTCTCGCAATGCTGTCGGGTGGCTCCCGGGCCCCCGGTATCCAGAGGGACGGGGAGGGTTTATTTCTCCTTTCGTTTCAAATCTATTAGACGGAAGTATCTCCCCACTTAGCTATTTTGTCTCTTAACCTACTCACTTGTCAGTACACCCGTGACAGGGCTGGTGAAGATCAGGGGTGTCCATTTCCGCCGGGAGGCCTCTCTCCCTCGGGCTGGCGCGTGGCGTGGGCAGAGACGGGCGGAGGGAGGATCCCCACGGGCAGCCCAGGGAGCTGTGCGCAGAACACGCTCAGCGGACAGCTGGTTCTCAACTATGTCCCACAGCCGGGGGGGAATTCCCAAAGGGAAAGTATGCACTTTAAAGATCGACGGGTAGGATACAAAGAGGCATGGCCTTTTATGTTTTCAAAGATTATAATGACCAGTTTTTTGAAAATCAGACAGTGTGAAATTTTGTTCATGTTGATATTTTTAACATGCAGTTCTGTATCTTGCTGCTACGCTAAGAATTTCATGGACAATAGAAAGAATAAGAATTACTGTTTGAGAAGATTTAGATAGGGGATCATTTTCTTATTGTCTTAAAAGTAACTTTTTAAAGCGTAAGGCATTTTGTGTGTATCTACTTACAATTATTGTAGATATTTGTAACCTAAGTCTGTGAAGTTTCCAAATCGCCCTTCATAATAACACACAGATAGCTGAAGACTCATACAGAACTTTAGGCGTTATGAAAATTAAGATTCTTATTGAAACTATTTTATTACTTTCAAATTGATATCACTTCTAGTTTGGCCAGAAGAAATCACACGCAAAGCAAACAAAAAGTCCAGAAAATATATATATTTTTTCATTTCATTGTTCTCACCTTGATATGTTGAAGTGAACCGAGAAATCATTTTTCTTTTGAATCAAATTAGTCTTTTTTGTTTCTCTGCTAGTTTATGAAGCACTAAAGGAAACACAAAACAACAAAAATTAGGCGAGAAAATAGTGTAACTGGGGAATCGTGATTACCTGCCAAATGCAATGACCTCTAACGCCTTGAATGAGTCGCCCTCTCCCCGCTCCCTGGTATTCATGGACCCTCTGTGACCATGTGGAGGATTTTCACTGGACTTTGAAGTGACGGGTCAGCTCTCCCGAGGTGACACGAGTCTGCAGGAAACAGGGCCTGTTGCGTTTGAAACGATGCACACACACCGGAAAGGGGAGTAAACAAAACAAGAAAAGAACAAAACCATGACAGAAACTAATCACAAGTACACAAAGTACACAAGTGTGTTTATTACAGTTTGCAAGCACTTTGCTCTACATTTCAAAACGCCACCATCAAGCTGTTGGCACATTTATGTACAAAACAGATTAACTGTAATGCCTGCTACAAAGCACTCTTCAGGAAAATACAAACTCTAATACCAGGAAAAAAAGCAAAGGCGTCGACATTGGTACATAAGTTTAAAAGACAGTTTTAAAAATCATCACAAACCGGTAAGACACAGAACTGAAACACTACCATAGAGGATTGAAAGAGGCCCGTTAATACTTTCGCTGAATATCTGTAATACTGCATATATCAGAAAAATGTTGAACCAGTAAGATAATAGTAAAAAAAGAAGCAAACCCCCAAATTAATTAAATAATACTACGGATGCATTGTCATGCCACGGAGAACCCCAGCGATATCCCTACATACTACAAGAACTTGTAAGATTGTGGGTGACGGATGCATGGCCCGGCATTGTACAAAGATTGTTCACTCAAGAAAGTTGATCAGAAATGCACTTACGCTGAGAGGAGATTTCACAATGGTCCAATCAGTGCACAGAACTACCTAGTTTTTATACACTGACAAAAATGTCTTGTCAGGCGACATAATTTTAAGAGACACTTTACAGCATTCTTGTAGCATTAGAAATAATCAAGAGTCAAGGTTAAAACAAACACCAGATTTGGTCCAGTAATACTGATTGCTTTTTTTTTTTTTTAATATTCCTTTGATATAGGTACTTCTTATAAATGAATATGAATGAATGTTTGGTTAAAATGACTTACGAGAAATAAAAACACAAATATGCCACTACGCTTCAAAAGGATACGTGGTATAGTGGCCTCTAACTGTACTTTAAAAAACACTACAGGTAAATCAACGTAGATTGGAAGGCTGCAAGCAAAGCTATTGTATTCATGGAAGCCTTTTCAAAGATATCATACACATTGGAGGGGTAGTTTACAGAGGTGCAACCCACGAAACCTTTTTAAAGTGGGTAAAACAACTTCTGAGGGGTTAGTGTGCCTATTGTTCATACACCACCTTCGTGAAGGTGACTCATGTTCCACGTTAGCACATTCAAGTTCCAATCCAGCCACTGCTTGAGTCACAAAGAGACCCTTCTCCGGTTGTCCACAGGAGTTATTTCCATTAAAATCGTCCCTGTACTAAACTTTAGAAGGTAAGCCTGGTGTCACAGTCTTAGAAAGGCAGCTAGCCATGCATTAGCATCACTGTGTCTACATGCTCACAACGTAAACTTGAAGAATCAGAGGGAAATACCTCTTCCGTACATCAAGGAAAAATACAATGTTAACAAAGATAAGAAGCACTTTTTTTTTAAACCTACTCTTACAAATTTAGAAATTGCACCTTAGATTGTTGAGAACATCAACCAGAGCCTACAGTAACGTGGCCACTGATCTTCTGACAATATCTCCGTATTTCAAGAAGAGTCATCACGATAGCATCTCTGTCTATTGTTCGGAATGTACAATGGTCCCTTTGAAGGTTACCTGTAGTCAAACTAGTTACCTAAATCAAAACTAAAAAGTATAAAAAGCTATTTTTTCTTTTCAAAACATAAGAAATAATGCAAGAGGTGTTATGTATAACACACAAGAAGTGGTTAAAAATCAAAGAAATCTCTGCATTTGACAATGTTAGTTTCATCGATCTTAAGAATTATTATTCAATGAGTTTGGGAAATTTAAAAAAGAAAAGGGCTGGATAGGAGCTTATAGAAGAGATCTGGTTACACCAATTTAACAAATTCGGAAGTTAAGTGCTAAACAGCAAAGAATTGTATTCGGGTGATTCCTAAGTCACCCTCCATATCATTGATGAGAAGCACTTTCATTTGATTCTTCACAAGGTTGGATGGTTGGATGGCCCTTAGTTAAACACCAATGCATGTGAACGGCAGGAAGGGGGCTTTGCTTATGTGTATGCGTTGAGCCGCTCTTTGGAGCGAGTAGAGTGGATGTCGTGCAGCTCCTGCTCCTCCTTGGACTTGATGTCCTCGTACTTCTGCATCCGGCAGGCATCTTTCACATACGCCCAGTTGGCAGAGAGAACCATAAGGTAGTGAACCTAGTCAACGACAAAAATCATTTATACAGGACGTCTGTCCAGTGTCTTCATTACACCTGCTATCAGGAAAGAAACGGTCCAATTGTATACTTACATAAGACCTGTCACTGATAAAACGGGCCCAAAATGTCGGTGGTAATAGGAATGATATAAATAAAATACAGTCCTTGCTCACTACTCCAACTGTAAGACACCACCTTGGCGTTCTTTTTTTCACTGTCTATCTCTTTTTCATATTCCTTTTCAACTCTGAAGTATCCCAGACCGATTCTTATTTTTTATGTGATCTTTCCTGTGCATTCTGCCCTCATCCGCCCAAACCATAAGGCTACCCACTTCACGTCCATCTGTCTGTTTTCTAAGCCCTACTTGCAAACAGTCCGGTACAGTTTGCCTTAACGGGAAGACATACTACAGTCCACTGTGAAATAGGAAGAGGGATCATGGGAGCCTCCAAATAAGCCTGTGGACTTAATTAATTTCCCATACAGTGGAATTTGCAGTTCCCTTAAGATTCAAACTACATATGGATTTTGTATATTTATAGACATTCACAATAGCTAGAATAGCGCTACGTTCAAAAAGGAAGCTCCTGATCGGTCTGGAGTAATACATTTACTCAAGTAATGAAGATCTTGATTTGACCTGGGTTGACTTCATAGGAGATAAAATGCAGTTTCCCAAGTGATGGATTTCGATGGATAAACAGGAAAGGGAAACCAAGTGGCTGGTTATTTACTTTCTCTAAGTTCGAACGGTGGGGGCAGTATTTCATCCATAATTTAGTAAAACAGGACACTAAATTTTTGATTAGCCAAGAGTACATTAAAAGGCAGGAGGTAGGATCGTTCTATTAAAGTACAGATGGACATAAAGAATGCAAAGTCGATCCTAAATGGTGGCTACTGTGGTATATTAAGGTAATTAACAGACGGTAGGAAAAAAACCCACGATTTTTCCTACACAACAGTGTAAGAAAACCATGCATACCAGTAAGACTAAGATATTTTCAGAATGTTCCATTTCCTCTGAAATTTTGCATTTTGGTTAATGAAAATTATAAGCCGCAGGTAAGCAGGAGCTGTGAGTGATGTTCTTGTCCAGGGGTGGGGGGGCACCCAGCCAGCGAAATCATTTGGTCTGGCCCTGCCAAGGCAACCACAGGTGGGACTCGGAATTCAATAAACCTAGGAGCTTTATTTTAAAGTTGATAATTTTGTATGGCCCATGAATGATGCTATAAATAGCCAAATGGCTCTTGGAAGAAAAAAGGTTCCCCACCCCTGTGTGTAGTCCATGGCCTTTTCATAGTGAGAACAGAATACGCTTTATACACAGTACCAACTTTATGTGGCATTTTTATGTTGCTGTGAAAATATCAAGTGCTGCGGAGAGTGCTCAGCAAGTGGTAGGTGCTCAAAGTATTTGCCACATGAATAAAGGCTATCTTTTCAGATGTTCAAAACTTTCCTTTCAAAGTCCTGGGGAATATGGCCCCTAAGTTATTATTACATATGTATGTCTTCATATCTGAGCTTCAGGGTCACTTTAGGTCAGACTCTGGTGCTTCCCAGGTGGTTTTTGGCCATCTCATCTGGCCTCAGGGGACACAAGCCTCCCGGCTCCTCACTGTCCCTCAGCTGGTAAACACCATCGCTGGGACCTGGGGCAATGCTAAGTCCACTAACTCTGGCACCATATAGAACTTCCTAACCTCTCCAAAAAGTACTGTAGTACTTAAGCATGTGTTAATTTTAGTACAAATTCTGATAATCCTTGCCTTGAATTACAGATGATGTTTTCAGTGTTTTGGCTGAGCAGAATTCATCTGACTTTTCTCATCTATCCTATGGAAATAACGATGGCAGCTACCTGGTGAGTGACTGAGATCCTGATGAGGCTTGTGACAGTGGCTACATTATGAGTATTGAGTGTATTCACGTACATAGAGCATTTGACAGCACTTTTAACAGAGTAAGTCTTAGAGAAATACTAGCTAATAGCAGCCCTATAGGGAGTAGCATTAGTGCCAGGAACAGTAGCAACAGCTATATTATCCCAGCCTCCTAAGACCTAAGCTATTACCAGAGCTAATAAAACGGAAACACTGATGCAAATCAGTATTTAGATGCTACGCATTTCTTCAGGAACTTAAGCTTTGCATATATTTGGATATCCAGAAATATGCTTAGTACGTAAAAAAATATTCTAATCTCTTGCTGTTTGAAACAGAATTTGCTTATTACTTAATATCAAAAGCTATGCAAAGCATAGATCCCTTAAGAAATACATAGCCTCTGCATTTCTATATCTTAAAATCTTTTGCTGATAGAATCACTTCAGAGTAGGCATTGTTAAGGACAATTTGATTTTAATTTTAGTTTTTTATTTTTAATTTTTTTTTTTGTTAAGGACATTTAAATAACATTATTCATTTATACAGGTACTATTCACAGGATTTTACATGCACCTTGATGCTGCAAATGCAAACAAAGCTCTATTATCACCTCTTTGCAAAAAGTCCTTTACAGACTCTTATACATGGGTGTGTAGTGCTTGAACATACATGTCCCTAAGATTATCCACTGCACAGACCATGTGGGAGCCTCTCCAGGGCATGTTTTAGCTTCCAGCTTAGGTCAAGATTATAAGGTCGTTGCTTATTGCTTAACCGTGATCCCGCCAATTAATCAGCAGACATGATCGTATTAAGCATCTCATATTCTGAAATAAAATTCCTACCAGAGATTCTACACTAAATCTAAAATGTTGACTAGTTAATATGACATAAAATTAAGACAATATCTGAAAACTTGCTTTAATCCTGACCTAGTTGGTTTTGTTAGATATTTTAAAAAATCATATTTAATAAAACTGAATCAGATCTTAATACGAACTGGAGCATCAAGTCACTAAAAATAACTGGTCTGAGATGCTCCTTAGCACATTAGTGTTGTCTCATCAGTCCTATATGTAGTCTTTGACAAGAGATGAAAAGCTCTCACTTTTTAAAAGGTGTTCCTTTAACTAACGCCTCAGACAACGTATTGGCACCCTAGGCAAAGAATTAAATAAACCCAAATCGATTCACCATTTTTGCATCTTGAATGGGCCAGAACATTGGCGAGCTCACTATTACATCTGCTCCCTGCTGACACTCCGCGTCCCAGCGAGCAGCTGGGACTCCTGGTGAGCTGCCAACAGGGAGAAGGGGTGGCACAGAGCAGGTCCTCCAAACTCGCTAAGAGCCTGACTTTAAGGACCTGTTAATACTTCTGAAGAAAATTAGACATAGAAGACAGGACATAAAACTACCAAGATTTACCTTAAGAAAACTATTCCTTTCTCCTAAGCAGCTCAGTGGCTCTTTTATGTTCTTATTTAAGGAGGAGAAAAGGGTATTGTAAGGAGGGGTGATGCTATTACTTGGGACATCATGTGGACACGCTCATATTGCCGCAGAGATCGTTTCTATGCGAATAGTAATCGAATGTCTACATGCCGATGAATTTGCTTATTTTTGTTGATGTTACCATATTATTGAGTGTTGTACCCCTTACACTAATGACCAAATATTATCTCTGTTGTGATGATAATACTTCCTTAGGTTAAGCCTTTATTAACCCAGTGTTCCCTCTCTCTCTCTCTCTTTTTTTTTACTGATAATAAAATAAATGATTCCTGTGGATTTCAGACATTAGAGATATTATCATCTCTACAAGCAAATGCCTCTGTAATGTAAATAGAAAAGCAAAGCCCAGGGGCTTTGAGGTCTTCTTACCATGGCGATGACCGCTGCGCCTGCTCCGGCCAGGGCCACGATGAACAAGTGGAAGGTCATGTTCAGCTGCAGAGGAAACCACAGAACCAACAGGTGTGTCAAGGTCACGCACAGAAGAGAATAAGAGCTCTGTGCATCTTTAACAGACGTGAGCAGCGAGCCTCACTTACTCCAAACACATCATCACAGTCTCTTTTCTCCTGCAAATCGCTGAAGCCTTGGCAACAGCATCACGTTAATACGATTTCATTATAAAGAGGAGATCGCGACAACAATGATGGTTTTCAGTAATATAACAATATAAGGCTATGCTGTCTCTTTTTAAAATAAAACTATACTTTTTGAACTGATATTCTAGGAAAAAATTAAGATATTTATTAAAATTTTTATTGAAACACAGAGTATCGCATTCATCTTTATTTTCTAGCCCCCCCATAACATCACTGCAAGCAAAGTTGCTTCTGAAAGAAAAAGGGGATTACTGAGTGTAGAATAATGAAGTTAAATTCTGACAAAATTAAAGGCGTGGGGACACTCACCTCCGTGGATTCACACATCCGGAGGAAGTTCTCAGAGACTGTGCAGATTTTCTTTTCCTCTCCGATGGTCACAATCCCTACAACACGGAGAAAATGCGTTACCATTGTGCATGTTCTCAGGAGCCTGGAGAGAGAAAAGGAAACTCCTGCGGAGAGAATCTAAGCAAGTTCCACTTTATGCCAGGTGACTGTCACAACAGAAGACTTTGCTCCGGCTCTCAGGCCTGGGTGACAGCTATGAGTAGAGCGATGGGTGAAGGTGCAACCCCTCCAGGCTCCTGGCCTCCAGCAGGTCGAACGTGCTCAGGCTGAACTCACGGAGCCTGGCAGGAGAACCTCAGGGCCCTGTTACCGGCGACGGGCTCGGGCCCTTGGTGTAAGGGTGTAGGCGTCGCAGTTACTGCGATTATTAGCCAGGCCCAGGCCATTCTGAAGTCTGATCTCAACTTACGCAGCTGGCACCCAGCTCCCGTTAGTCTAGAAGAGCAACTGCCCGAAGGAGGCCTTTCTCTCTGTTCTATCAAAAACAGCGCTCAGTGGGGGAAATAAAAAGCTGTGATCTCACTAGGTTTACCCTGGGTCCAGGTGGTTTATGGACCAACTGCGGCGGGAGCACCAGTTATCAAAACTAAGTATCTGTGGACTCAACAGAGAGCCACGAAGCCCGAGCCTGAGGCTGTGGCCAGGCGGCCGCATCCCAGCCAGCGAAGGGGTCAGGTCCATCCTGAAACGGGTCTTAGGTTTGCGTTCAGAGCTACTGAAGTGTCGAACACAAACATACAAGAAGAAAAACAGACTCTGGGCAAGCGAGACCCAAGCCTTCAGCACTCGCTGCTCTCACTTGGTTCCGGGCCTGTAGGGTCACAGCGCTCAGCGGGGAGGGCCCGTCGGTGCTCGACGGGGCTGCTGCCAGTCTGCTTACTCTGCTTGGCCGGGTACTTCAGTTAGAGTCTCCGTGCCCCACAGAAGGCGGAGCTTCCCTCTGTGCCCTTCCTCTCCGCCAGCTGGCTGGGGGCATCGGGTCTGTCTAACAAACCACCACCACTGAGGGGCTCCTGGTGAAGGGCCCCCTGCCCCACCCTGGTCCCTGACAGGCGTCCTTCCCCCTCCATCCAGGTCACTGACGGGCGTCCTTCCCCCTCCATCCCGGTCCTTGACAGGCGTCCTTCCCCCTCCATCCAGGTCACTGACGGGCGTCCTTCCCCCTCCATCCTGGTCCCTGACAGGCGTCCTTCCCCCTCCAACCAGGTCACTGACGGGCGTCCTTCCCCCTCCATCCTGGTCCCTGACAGGCGTCCTTCCCCCTCCATCCTGGTCCCTGACGGGCGTCCTTCCCCCTCCACCCTGGACACTGACAGGCGTCCTTCTCCCTCCATCCTGGTCCCTGATGGGCGTCCTTCCCCCTCCACCCTGGTCCCTGACAGGCGTCCTTCCCCCTCCATCCTGGACACTGACGGGCGTCCTTCCCCCTCCATCCTGGACACTGACAGGCGTCCTTCCCCCTCCACCCTGGTCACTGACAGGCGTCCTTCCCCCTCCATCCTGGACACTGACGGGCGTCCTTCCCCCTCCATCCTGGACACTGACGGGCGTCCTTCCCCCTCCACCCTGGACACTGACAGGCGTCCTTCCCCCTCCATCCTGGACACTGACGGGCGTCCTTCCCCCTCCATTCTGGACACTGACGGGCGTCCTTCATGTGAATCCCATTTCTTCGTTCACACTCACAGCTAAACCGGAGGGAGTGTGGCCAAGCTCTCTGTCTACAGGTCCCCGTTTCACTTCCACTCCTCCCCTTCCAGCGAGGTCGCCCCCCCCACAGTCTCCTGTAAAGCTCACCGCAGGCTGGCACCGTTACCGGCCAAGGAGAGCTCAGCTCGCCTCCTGCCGGGCGGGGTGGAGGCCCCGACGCCCTCCTCGCGCTCTCTTCACGGCACCGCCACGTCTGTCTCCTGCTGCTCCCTCTCTGGCCTGCCAGGTTCCTCCCCTCCCCAGGACGTCTTCATCGGCGCGTCCAGCGTCCCCTCCTCCGTCACCCTCTCCCTTGCTGATGTCACTGAGTCTCAGGGCTTTGGATTTTCCATACTATCGACTCTTAAATCCACACAGCCAGCCCCCTATCTCTCACCTGATTTCTTACCAGACAACCCCGTTTAGATTCTAATAAACATCTAACAATCTGCACCTTCAAACTGAGCTTTGGACTTCCCTTGTCTCCCC